GGTCCTTCCCACCGTGGACTCGTCCAGTTCTTTCGTTTGATGACCGTTATGTAGACCCAGTCACCTTGCTCTTCCTGTGAGGGAAGAAAATCAGACGGCAGTAAATTTGCATTTAACACCTCTTTCTGTTTCAGGATCCTGATTATATAATCTGCTAATGTCTGTTCTTCATCAGCTTTTTGTAAGTTTGGAGCAAACAGAGGCAATCTGTAAGCTCTCCCATGAATTATTTCAAAAGGTGTTAGACCATCAGCTGTCGGGGTGATTCTCATATAGAGCTTCACTAACTCTAAACATTCTGGCCAGGGCCGGCCAGTGTCTGCCATGCATTTCCTCAATCTGCTTTTCACAGTACCATTTGTTGTTTCCACCAGACCTGCACTCTGTGGGTGATAGGCACAGTGGTTTTTCAATGTCATTCCAAAGTGAATAGCCATGTTATGTATGACTTGTCACTGTAAACATTCTGTGGAATACCGTGTGTTGGGATATAGTTTTACAGATAGCCTTAGCTACTGTCAAAGCATCTGCATGCTTTGCTGGAACTATTTCAACCCATTTAGAAAAAGCATCAATCATCATCTAACAGTATTTGTTAACTCAAAAGTTCATAACAAAAAATTTTTTATGTAAGAATTTAGTAGTTATATAGTATTACCTCACCATTTTCCCTTTTCCCCCCTTTTTACACATGGCATTGCCCATGTGTCACAATCAACTAAGCTTTTATAAAGTCTTTGGGAGGATTAGTAGTTAATGCAGGTGAACTCATAGGTTTATAGAAGATATTTTAGCAGACACGTATTTTAATTGCAGGGTTATATTTTGGTTTTTCTTTGTTAAACTCAGCAACTTTCAACATTTCTATCTAATTTCTCTAGAATAAAAATGTCCATCTTTAATTTAACCAAATCTCAAATCCTCTGATCCAAGATTTTTTCTTTTTGAATTTATTGACTATAAATCAAATCTAGATTAAAATGTTTTAGACTGAAATCTAGTGTTGCCTTTATTCACAATCATCAATTTTTAGTAGCCATTTATATCTATCAGGTTGCTTAAAATCTCAGACTTTCACTTAACCTTGCATTTCAGACAGGTTAACAACATAAGTTTTTTTATATCTATAATTAAATGGTCAATAGTTTCATCCGTTACTCAATTATGTAGTAACATTTCTCTCTTCTCATAATAATTTTCCTTCATCCCAATATGAAAAATCCCACAAAAACAATCAATTTGTAGATTCTTTATAGCATTAAGCTCTAAATTAAATTTTTCAGTTAAATTCAACGAAATATTTCATAATATTTCAACACTGCAATATCAATTATTTTCAACACGTAGAGATGTTTAATTTAGTTCCAAACTAGTAAATAAAACATTTGAAAATCATTATTAGCTTAGAATCTCTAATACACTTTTTTTCTTTAATTGGTGTAATTTAGTTGCATAGCTCTATCAGTTTTTCTTTTGTTTAACTTTTAATGATTATAATTTTTCTTGTTCATAGTTTCCCAACCTATGGCTCGTGGGCC